TTGTATCAAGAGCTTTAAATAATTGTCTTTCTTTCGTACACAGTCCACTTATTTTACAATATATTACAAAATTCAAACGTATATACAAATGTTCGTTACACTGTTGGTAACCATAGTTGTATCAAGAGCTTTAAATAATTGTCTTTCTTTCGTACACAGTCCACTTATTTTACAATATATTACAAAATTCAAACGTATATACAAATGTTCGTTACACTGTTGGTAACCATAGTTGTATCAAGAGCTTTAAATAATTGTCTTTCTTTCGTCAAAGTCCACTTATTTTACAATATATTACAAAATTCAAACGTATATACAAATGTTCGTTACACTCTTGGTAACCACAGTTGTATCAAGAGCTTTAAATAATTGTCTTTCTTTCGTCAAAATCCACACAGAGTGGTTCAATCATTTTATAACACAATAGACAAGACAAACTATTCTTCTCTACTCTGTTGTTACAATACAATCTGTGATAATTTCACTTTCAAAATCCCCACTATACGCTCTTTATGGATAAACTCAGAATCACACAGTCTAGATTTATCCTTCTAACTGCATTTTCGAGGCGTACTTATACCCCGTCAGATGTCTGTAACGTTCCACACATTACTAGATATTATGACGCAATAATGCTCAATCAAAACAACAAGAAAACTCAGAAGGTTGTATTAACATGACGCAATAATATAACAATCAGTAGTTCATAACTATTGAACCACACAACGTATGATTCGCAGACAGTTACGTAAACAAACTTGCGATAAACCGTCGCTTCTGAAAATAACTAAGTTTAACACATCCCGTCACAATGAATTGTCCATTATTATTCAGCGGACTAACTGATTTCATACTTATTTATTAATTTCTTTTTCTTACCAAAACATGAATTTCGATGAAGAAAAGATAACGTAGAGGCCTAGTTAGGTGGATAAGGCTTAATGTAAACACTGTTTAGCCAAATAAAGCTTAATGTAAATACAACCTTGTTGCCGAAACGAAACTTGATACCGTCGAGAGTAAAATTGTATAATTAGGCTTACCAATTCACTTAGAATCCAAGAAAATACGAAGTGCATGTTCATGTTTGCTTGGCTCTCATGTAACCAGCTTATATACATAAATAACCACCTCATCACATCTCTTAATATCATGGTGAACCCTAGTTACCCATTTAAACTCATTAGGATATGGCCCTAATGGTGGTTTGTTCGTGTCTTGCCAATTTATTTTTCACTACACTGGTCAATAGAATGCATCTACAAACCTCTGTAGCCTACATGTCCAATGCTTCTTCCTTGTTATAGGTCCTTTTTTACTGTTATTCTGTTGATTTGTTTTTCAGAAATCCCTTTACGAAGAAGATTATAAGTAACATTAAGGATTTGTTTGTTTGTTTATTTTAGAGCAAAGCCACATTGGGCTATCTGCTATGTCCACCGTGGGGAATCTAACCCCGGATTTTAGCGTTGTAAGTCCGTAAACTTACCGCTGACCCACCAGGAGACAACATTAATGAACATTGAATAACTGTTCTATTCTAATGAATATATCTCAATAACAGGAGGCTTATTTTAGGAAGTTTATCTCATAGGCCTTTCTTGAAAAGTATATTCTTATGTAGCAAGATTGTTAAGCAATGTGCAGCCAAAGAAAACAATACTTAGAAGAAAGGAACCTTCAATGTTCTCCACAGAAGTACAAAACCTCACAGAGCAGAACATTTGAGAAAGCAATGGGTTTCAAAAGTCTTTCTTTCATTCCTTCCTTTATTTATTTATTTATTAGGACATCAAGAAACTACTACAGCTGCTTTTTTTGCGACCTCTATCCACCTCTGCTGATCATCAACCTCTACGGCATGGATGAGAGCAATCACCTTTATCTTTGTCCACTCTACAATGTGGACCAAGGCTTTCTTTGGTCGCCCTCTTATTGTACATCCTGCAATAGTACTTTGTAATAGTAACCTTAAAAGACCACTGTATTAGCCTTCGTGGATTTAGCAGCTTTCGTCTGTTATAACCACAGAGTACATTGATTGTTCTGTCATCTTCACTGGTTCGGTGGACTGCCCGTTGGAAAAGTCTTTTGTGTCAACTCATTTTAAATGTCTGTATTCTCTTTTTCATCCTCAACCATCTCCATGATTTACGTTAATATATGAAGATGGATCTCCCGAGTGTTCTAAGAATGAATTTGAAATTTAAAAGGGCTAATGTCTTCACTTCAATTGTTATGATTATTTAAAGAATAATACAGTAAGCCAATTGGATAACAAAGTCTTAACAAGGATTTTCATGCTACTTACTCCTACTGCTTTTTCATATTACTCATATACATTTTCGAGACTAGCTTCACGTGTGTTTGTTCATGCACTTCAGTAAAATACTTTCTTCTGTATACTTATTATTATTTTTGTTTAATTATTCGTATTAAAACTTTTTCGCAGGATACCTGCAATATAGTTTTAAGTAAAATGTTTTGGAGTTTGTTTGACGTTAAGTAGAAAAACTACACAGCGGGCTATCTAGGGTTTGCCCATCGCAGGTATTTAAATCCAATTTTTAGCGTTATAAGCCTTTAGGCTTATCGCTGAGCCACCGAAGGGTAAGCAATATTGATGTAAATGTGTATCTTATGTGTACCAATATTACAATAAAATGTAACTGTTTTAACCAAGTGGAATATATACAAAACTATAAATATCTAAATGATATAACCGAAATAAATTGTAATGGTTTATTACACGTCATACTAACCTTTTATATATCAACAAATATCTATATTTGTATTCGAAGTAATCCTGAAATGCAGACAAATTCTCTACCACAAAAGTTTACTTTAAGAAACAAAGAGCAGGCTGTTGGTATAACACATTAAAAGTGATGTCAGTTTAAATGTAAGTTAATTGTGAACACTTAGAAAGACGATTAACACAGTGAGTCTTCTCTTTACGAAATCAGAAACAGCTCCTTATTTCATTACGCTTAAAATTTTAAGTTAAATAACTTTGCACCAGAAAATCAGATTTAGTTGATTTATGGAAATTACGTGAATTGCTAAAGCGTAGAAAATCAAATAATCCCCAGTGATTGGCTGTCTACGTAAGTACATAAACGCCAGTTCGTGTTCGCTGGAAATTTAGCTTTTGTCCTAATTGTATTTTTTTTTGTTCTGTTCATTCTAACGAAAATTGCATTGCTTTATACTGGTTCCTGTATTTTGATAGTTTTTGTTGTTGTTGTTTTTTACTCTTTGTCACCTCTCTAATCATGAGGTTGGTATGTTGAGTAATTGGGTTAACAAGGCCTAAAATAGCCTTCAATAACATTCAGTTAAAATTCCAAGTTCACAGACCTCTCTTGTCCCTGTTTCTAGATAGGGCAACATAATACTTGTGGGTTGGTTATTTCAATCTCATCGTAGAACGAAACACATGAAATAACTTACTATATCATAAAAGTTGAATTCTAAAATGTGGTCAAAACCACCTTTGATCATATTTGCACTGACAACGTAACATTATATTACGAATATCAAAAGCATAAATCCTAATTTACGTTTTAAATACAATAGGATCAAACACCTATTTAGCACAGAAAAGCCTTTCACCAGATTATATTAGAAAGTAAGTTGCTTCTAATTCTAACTTTTTATGAAATCACATAGTCAGGCTTAAGATGTTGGTTCCTAGCTGTAGTTATAGAATTTATTATAAAATTGTGGCTCATTCGTCAGATAATACAAAAAAACATTCCGCATATAAAATAACATTTAGTGTTTTATAAACACTATAAAATGAGGGTTGGATGTGGTCTAGTGATTAGTAAGTCCGGCTGCGAAATGAAGGGTCCAAGGTTCAAGACCTGGTGCCATTAAACACACACACACCACTTTCAACTGTGGATGTGTTATAAAATTGACATTCAGTCTTGTTATTCGGTTCATGTAGTCGGACATTACCGTTTTGCTCGTTGTCTCCCTCGTGATAAATAGTTCAAAATTACAAATGATTATACCTGGATCCTTTTTTTTTGTTTATTCCCAACGGAAGTTGTTGTTGTTGCAGTTACTTGTAGCAGGTTGGTTTTTACGGGGTGGAATTGCCCAACCCTCCTCATTTCTCATCCTGGACTTGGGACAAGGCAAAAGCGGAGGTTGGCATGTTTGGTGTGACGGGGATTCGAGCCCGCGACCCTCAGATTACGAGTCGAGCGCCCTAACCACCTGGCCATGCCGGGCCTTTACCTGGATCCTAGGAGACTTTTATTCTAAGAGCGCATAAAGTAACGTTCAGGTTCAAAGTTCCAATTTCATAAAATAAGGAATATACATGTATTTTTTCGGCCATATTAATTAAAAGGTGTATAAAATGCTGCTTGTTCTTCAGTTTGAGCCCAGTTGTTAAATATTTCACATGTCTCAATTCATTAAGAGTATATACTTCCTGACATTTAATAAAACATTAGTATTACTCACACCAATTTGTCAAATTGTACAACCTTGAGATTTTAAACATGTTTAATTCGTATAACTATGTTGCTGTATAAATTTCATTCATTTTTTTTCGGTAGAATATAATATCGTTACTTACGGTGAAATATTAAATATATTTAAATTATTCTTATCATTTTAATTCGGTGAAATATACAGTAACTTGATATTACGTTACGTGTTTCATATATTTTCTACCCGATAAGTCTGGGGGTTTAAAACACTAAATATTGAGTTTCGATACTGTAAAATTAATAACAACGCAGAAGTAACTACCTGTGTATTGTAAATATTGATAAAGTTCCAAATTTCTGTCTAAAGTGTATGGATTCTTTCCTTTTTTTTAAATAATTTTTGTCGACGTTTCTGTTTAACAAATAACATCATAATTTGCAGTTTCATAAACCTAAAGCTATTCTATTAAAGCATATAAAAGTCCAAGATTAGCGAAAGACATGCCGTTTCGGTTGAAAATATCATTTTTTTATTTATTTTTTTTTCAGAAGTCGAACAGTTTGCTCGTCTGAAGGACATAGGAAACGGGACTCTAGTGGCCGAATATGACTGGTATATTGACAACATCTTTATGCTTTTGCATATGTCACGATCTCCACAAGGACACACTATTGTCGGACCACAATTCTATACTGGCCAACCTGGTTATAATGTTAAACTGAGTTTAACTACCGGTCGCATCAACCCAACTGACGGTTTGCCCTATTTAGGTGTTTGGTTTACTCTCGTGCGGGGAAAGTTTGACGATGTTGTAGAATGGCCCTTTCAGTATAAATTTAATTTGACTTTAGTGGACCAATCCTTCAGCCATAAAGAAGATATCCATCTATCTATGAACCCCATGACTGCCATCTGTCGGCTATTAAAGCAATTTTTACGGCCAAAATTTGAAAAACGGGAAAGTGGTGGATGTGGTAAAGCTTTCTTTGTGCCACATAAAAACTTACTGGATCGCAGTCGTTATCTTAAAAACAACAGCGTCCATTTGCGAGTAACTGTCTTTCTGGAGGATCGAGGAGCCATTCCAAAGCGAGCTAAAGCTTACATGCGTGGCCACCAATTCGTATCGGAATATTTATGGAAAATTGAAGACATTGACAGAAAAATTGAACTTTCAAAAAAAGGTTTGTTAAGCACTATAACAAGCGATTTATTTTATGTAAATAGCGAAAGTTATCTGATGGTTCTTCAGCTTACACTGAATCCAGAAGACGAGCATCTTGGATTGTTTGCCACTCTTGTTCCAGGAGATTTTGATGATGCTCTGGAATGGCCTTTTGCTTATAACTTTGAACTTTCTGTAGTGGATCAATCACCTGGATACCTCACCTTAGATCGGAAAGGAATCGTTGACCCGACTTCTGGTATTTGTTCACTAAGTGCTTTTACCAAGCCACAGTATCAACCGAATATACCGTGTGGTTTTCGTCGTGTGATCACATTCGGTATGCTAGATAGCCGAAATTTTAAAAAGAATGGAAACGTTTTAGTCAAGTTCACGGTTATCTTGGATCAAATGCCAAATTTTGCTTCGGTATCAGTAAAAGATTCACACTTGGTTGCCGAATATGTTTGGAAAATCCCAAATATTGAGCGTAAGTTTCAACTGGGAAAAACAGGTCGCTTGACCAACCTTTTAAGTGAACGCTTCTATACAACTGACCAAGGTTACCTCATGCAACTTCAAGTAAAGTTTCAAAACGACAGCAGTGGATACCTTGGCTTGTACTTAACTTTACTGGAAGGAAACTATGATTCATTATTAGAATGGCCCTTTGTCAAAAAGTTTGAACTAGTCGTAATAGATCAACAACCAACTGTAATTCGAGAAGATGTTGTCGTGCCAGTTGATCCAAATAACCCATATATTACCAACGAGGCTTGTGTTGGTTCCTTCTGGCGTCCTGTGGGGCGAAATGACGCATGCGGTTCAGCAAAAACTGTTGACTACGATACCCTCTACTCGAAAAAATACATGCGTTATGGTGCTTTGCTAGTGAAAGTTGTTGTATTTCTGGAAGAAATCTATCCACCAAAGTTCGCTTCATTATCAATAAAGGCGGGCAGCTTAGTCGCAGAATTTGACTGGAAAATCAGTAACATTGATGAGCACATTGTGAAAGCAGATCGTGAGCAGTTTTTAGATAGTGATAAGTTTTATTTAACCAATAATCGCCACAGGATGATGCTTCGTCTATATCCAGAAAAAACGCCTGGTTATATTGGCTTATATGCAGTATTAACCAAAGGAATATATGATGAAGATTTGGAATGGCCTTTTAATTATAAATATCAGCTTACCGTTGTAGACCAATTGGAAAATGGCCCCTGTGTGGATATTTCACGAACTACTTATCCCACAACAAGTTCTAGTGGTTGTCCGTCCATGGCGTTCCTGAAACCTGCCCACGATCTAGCAGAATGGAGCTGTGGAGAGGGCCGCATGATCAGCCACAAGACCCTTAACACCCGGGGATACAAAAACAATGGTACAATGAGAGTTAGAATTACTGTGTTTTTAAAAGAGATAGTCAATCAGATCGCTACAATCTCTTTTCACCAGAACAGCATTGTTTCAGAATATTCTTGGCTCGTAGAGAATATCCAAGATAAGATTTCTTTACAGAAATCAAAAGAATTGAATAAAATCGAAAGTCCTTTATTTTATACAGACAACCAGGGTTATGCAATGAGAGTAACTTTAGTTCTAAACAACGTGATCACGCCTCTCCAATCTTTGGCAAATCACAGAGAAGAATATGTTTTGGGTTTGTATCTGACCATTCACCGTGGTCGACATGATGCTGTCTTGAGATGGCCGTTCTCTAAAAGTATTCTACTGACCGTGGTAGATCAGGCATATCTTGGGAGAGACTTGGTTAAGGTCATTGACCCTCAAAATACAAAGTGTCCAGTGCATGCCTTTATGCGACCACGAGAGATTCATAACGAACATTCTTGTGGGTTCGGTGCTCTGATGCCTTTAGAACGTGTCTCAGATTTCACCCAAGATGGAGCTTTATTAATAAGGACGTCCATAGTTACTGGTCAAATAATTAAATAAGGTAAAATGTAAATAGAAAATACAGTTTTGATGCACTATTTGATTGACAAAAAAACAACAACAAAGATTTGATCTCGTGTTCAGTGATTGAATTCTGAAGAGCCCAGTCCTAAACTCCAGCTGTGATATTTTTAGTCTGTGCTTTTCATACAACGCAAAGAAGAAGAACAAATGGGTCAGCTTTTGATAAGTTATAAAGATGTTTAGTAGCATAAACTAAATAATTTACTTTGGTTTTGATTTCAGTTTAGTGCTACCATTCCACATTTTCGAAAATTTCCCTATGCAATGAAAGGAAAATCATATTAATTTCCTTTTAGTGAATAGTATAAAAATCTACATAAATATCATACATTTCATGAATTTTTAAAAATAAGAACATCCACCCAAAGCGTATTATGAATATAGAAATATAGGTTTTACATAATTAATCATCAGGTTTAAGGCGTTCTGTATTTAAGAAATGCAATAATTCAATAAGCCCACGTCTTGACAAGATTAATAATGAACGTTGTAAATATGTTTAAGTTAGGTGATACCACTATTACGTACGTTCAAAATGGCGATTGTGAATGAGAAAAGTAAAACCAGTATTTCGGTACAAAATTAGAAAATTTGATGCAAGAGGTTCAAAGAGTCTATAAAAAAAAAAAAGCTGTTGGCATCAACATCATTCTACAACAGCATCCTATATCAAAGTAGGCTGATTAATTTGTTGTCATCTTTTAGAGAATCCTCCCCGATCTTACACTTCTTTATATTAACACAAAAATTGTAAATCAGTAAAGTTAACCACCAAAAAGTTAAAAAATAGGGAAAACAACTGTTAATAATTTGTCCTGTGTATATCTGATCACAATTTAAGATATATGAAAACATATTTAGTAATTTAAGACATAAACGCAGTGATTTAAAGTAAGGCACAGAAAAATTAAGAAATTTTAATGTGTATTGGTACAATTAATGTGAATATTTCATTGGGTTCTGTTCGAGAATTACATATCAAATTTGCTCTAAAAATCTTACGGGATCATATAAAGTTTACATTGCTTACTTACGTTAGAACATTATCGATAATTTATGCAAATTGAGGTTAAAATTTATCAAACAGAGAATAACACCAATCGGGAGAAGAAAATTTGTCTGTTAACCAGTGCTGATTGTTATTATTTTATATGTTTTTGAACTATATAATTGTTAACTTAATCAGCTTACTACTGGCCTACGATCAAACCAAGTATCACAAATTAATATTTTAAATTATATTCCCTCAACATTAGCCACCGACTTCATTAAAACTTATGAAAATTAATTAAATTTGTACTTATTGTGTATTCTTTGGTCGGTTATAAACCAGGTGTTCACAACTCTTTTTTTATATTTCATTGTGTGTTTCAATATGGTCAGATAAAGAGTTTTTAGGTAACTTTTTTCAGTGAGGCATTCCTACAAATAATATCTTTAAGTCAGACTGAAGCTTATATTCTGAAAGGTAATTGATACACCTTTAAATTCAGTTTCTAGGGGTATAAATCCCATGCGCAACCACGGAATTAAATATCATAGCTGTAAACAACAAGAAGTAAAGGTCTCAATGTGTTCGCATGCTAAGAAAATTGGAACATAAATTTATAACAGGTAATAAAACAATGTCACCAAAAGCATAAAACTAGATCTCATGTTTCAAAATCAAGTCCGAAATATACCTTAAAGAAAATGAACCAGTAACAACGGGATGCCCATTGGTCATTAGTGTTTTAATTAGTGGTAATCATAACGTGATGCTAATTTTACTTTTCACTTCAATTCATAACGTATTTTCTTTTGTATGTGTGTCTTGCCCTTTCCAATGTAATTAACTTTGTTAAGGCATGAATCACATAGAAGCTTTAGCAAAGCAGTAACATTTCCAGATATCATAAATAATTACTGAGATTTTTGTGTTTTATATGTTAGTTTTTAATATTTCAGTATATATATATATAATATAATTAAAACGCACTAGAAGAAAAGATAGCTATGTAAGTACAGTTTACAAAATAAAATAAAAACGTAAGAATTGTAACTCCACTGGTAAAATGAAGGTTCGCCAAAAAATTGAAGTTATACAGTTACTCATGTTGACCTTTAGTTATGTCATATATATATTTATATAAAACATAAACAAACTCAAACCTGGGGACCTCCATTAGCTCAGCGGTAAGTGTGCAGGCTTACGACGCTAAAAATCGGGTTTCGAGACTCCTGGTGGACAGGATACAGATAGTCCTTTATTTAATTTTGTGCTTAAGAACAACCAAATCAAAATTGGTCTCAACCTACCACACAATGTACATGTTTCGAGTGTATTAAAAGGGTGATTTTTAAACATATGCACGCACATTATCAACCTGGAACATTTTATTGCTACACAACATGATGTTTTTTATGTATGTAATAGAGGCTAGTGCACTAACCACTCGTCAGGATGTGTCACGTAACAACGTATCAATGAAATTCGATTTCGATGACGAGGAACCCA